TTGTCCAGCTTTTTTTGGTCGTAAGTTAGTTTCTGAATGCAAGTTTTTTTTTTTCTTTCAGTGGATAACAATTATTTAGGGGGAAAAAAACCCAAAACCCAACCCGAAAGCAACCAGCGGAGGTAGTTCTCTGGAGAACTCACAGGCTCAGCTCTTCTGCCTCTTGTATTTTCAAACGATTAACATTTTTTTTTTTTTTTTTTTTTTAATTTTTTGTTTTTTTTTTGTTTTTTCTCTTTTTTTTTTTTTAATGAAAGAAAAGAGGAGGAGGGGGACTGGTCAGGAGCTCTGTTGCCCCACGTGATAATCGACCCACACCGTGGGTGCAGTTCCTTCCTCTCCTCACCAGAACTTGTTGTTTCATGCCTGGACTTGGGCCACGGCTCCCGAGGAGGAATGCTGCTGGATTTGTGAGAGCACAAACTGTATCTCGGGGGGTGGGGGGGTGGGGGGTGTGAAACCAGAGTCATGGAATGGTAGGGGTGGGAAGGGACCTCTGGAGATCATTTTCTCCAACCCCCTGCCAGAGCAGGTCCACCCACAGCAGGTCCCACAGGAACGTGTCCTGGTGGGGTTTGAATATCTCCAGAGGAAACCCCCCCACTCTCTCTGGGCAGTTCTGCCACCCTCAAAGGGACATTTTCCTTATTTCCCATGTCCCAGTTTGTGCCCATCACCCCTTGTCCTGTCCCCGGGCACCACTGAGAAGAGTCTGGCCCCATCCTCTTGCCCCCCACCCTTTAGTTCTTGCTCAGCATCGATGAGATCCCCTCTCAGTCTGCTCTTCCCAGCTGAACAGCCCCAGGTCCCTCAGCCTTTCCTCAGCAGAGAGATGCTCCAATCCCTTGATCATCTCTGTAGCCTCTGCTGTCCCCTCTCCAGCAGTTCCCTGTCCTTCTGGAACTGGGGAGCCCACAACTGGTCCCAGTGCTCTAGACGTGGTCCCACCAGGGCAGAGCAGAGAGGGAGGATGACCTCCCTGGACCTGCTGGCCACGCTCTTCTTATTACACCCCAAAAAAACCCCAAACCCTGTATTTCTCAGACCTGTGCCCTTGGAGCAGCAGCATTTTGGGTGTCTGCCTGGCATTTTGGGTGTCTGCCTGGCACCTCTTTTATCCGTGGTCCCTAAAACCATTGTCAAAGAGCTTTTCCTGCTGCGATGGAGGGCTGTGTATAAATCCCACCGGCATGTTCATCGCTGGGCAGGAGTTCAGCGAGGGACCCACCTCCTTCAAAACACAAACCGGGGAGGTGGAAGAAGGGAAAAGTCAAAGCTTGACGATTCTCAGAGCTTTTTATTTTTTTTTTATTTTTTTCCCCCAGACCTGATCACCCAGAGGCTTCTAGCTGGTGGTGGGGGCGTTGGGGATTCCTGCGCTTGGCAATTCCTCTGCCTTGAGGCAACACTTTCTTTCTTGGGATGTTTACTCTGGGTGAAAACTCCTCCCGAATACCATCGCCCTCTCGCCCACGGGCTCCCAGCCCGGGTTTCTCCTCGTGCTTTGCGAGGCTGATGGGTTGAGTCAGGGGTGGCAGCCCTCACCTCTGTGCCGGGGGGCCGTGCACTTGAGCTGCACTTGCTAAGGCTGATAAACCTTATCGTGGGCTTGGGCAAGCTCTGCTGAGGAGCTGGGTCATCAACAGCAGTGAAATCCTGAGCCTGAGGGGGCCTTTCCCAACAGCAGATAAGGCTGGGTTGTTGCTGTGATCATCACCTCCACGGCCTGGTGGAGTTTAAATGGGGAGGAAAAAGGTGGTGGTTTTTTAATTCTCTGTGTTGGGATGGGTTGCCTGGTCTCAGTCCCTGAAGACTTTCAAGACCAGGGTGGGTAAAGGCTTTTGTGGCGGGGAGGTAGAAGCAAGTTTTTGGGTTTTTTTGTTTTTTTTCTTTTTTTTTTTTCTCTTAAGCTGGCAAGAAAAGCACTTTATAAACTCACAAACCCTCCCAGCTGGAGAAAGCAGCAGCGGGAGATGCGGAGCCAGAAGCTGGTGGAAGGAAGTGGATTTGGTTCCTCCGAGTCAGGGGCTGGAGATGGTCCCATTCCTGGGGTTCCTGGGCTGGCTGGGACTTGGGGGGTGGCTGTGCCTCTCGCTGTCCATTTGTCTGTCCGGGCAAAGCTGCGTGCTGGGAAAGAAAGGAGGGGGGAAATTGCCCTCTCCATGGCCTGGTTGGTGTTTTTTGTGGGTCTGAGTCACGCTCTGCAGCCCCGTGACCTGCTGTGGCCGGTTTGGTGCTCACACCCTTCTTTGTACAAGCTCGGGAAGTGTCCGGGGAGGACAGGGGGGGGAATGGACTGGCTCAGGGGACACTGGGACAGCTCGAATCTCTATTGTTCCAGCCTTCCAAGGCAGCTTCTGACTCACGGCAGAAATATTTGCTTTAAGAGGCAGGTTTCAGGCTTGGGGTGAGGGGAAGGTGCCTCTGCCAGACTCTGTCTGCCGGGCATCATCCTTCCCTCTCACACACGGAGATTTATATCCCTTTAGGGTGGATTTATATCCCTTTAGGGTGGATTTACATCCCTATAGATCCATGGGGCAGCTGTGCTGGTTGAGATGCCAGCACTGTGCCTCTCGGGTACCCAAATACTCCCCCAAAACCCTGCCTTTTTCTGTCGAGCATCGTCCCCCCGCAGCCGGGGGTACAAAAAGAGCTGAGCCAGCAGAAAAGTGCAGGGTGAACCGGCGGAAACGGGGCCGTTGGCTTCCCGATCCGTGGCAAAGATACCGGGGATGATGCGGAAACACCGGAGGCCATGCCGTCCCCCGGGAGCCCGGAGCAGGCCCGGGTGTTTCTTGTGGGCACGGGAGCCCCGTACCAGCCTTGACATGGGGCTGGTTTCCTCCCCACAAACGCCCTCCCTGTTCCTCTTCCCCTGCCCCTTCCATTTTTATTTTTTTTTTTGCTGCCGTGGGGTTGAGGAGCTGAGAAATTGGGGAAGGAAAAAGGGGGCCCTGGTGTTATCCTAAGGAAGCGTTCAGCCAGCCTTTGCCTTGCTGATAACCCCCACGGGGGAATCCCTCTGCAAACCTCCTTCTTGCCCTTTGCCAAGGAAATTTGCTTCAAGATCCACCAGGGTAGGTTTAGACTGAACATTAGGAAAGAATTTTTCACACAAAGAGTGGTCGGGCATTGGAATAGGCTGCCCAGGGAGGTGGTGGAGTCACCATCCCTGGATGGGTTTAAGAACTGTTTAGATGTGGTGTTGGGGGATATGGTGTAGGAGAGAACTTTGTAGAGTAGGGTAGATGGTTGGACTTGATGATCCCAAGGGTCTCTTCCAGGTTCTATGGTTCATCCATCCCAGGGAAAATGCCCTCCACCTGTGTCAAGGGGAGGTTTGGCCACCAGCTCCAGCACCTCCAAGCCACCCCAGAGCTCCTCTCCCTTCACCTGAGAGCGCTGGGCAGAGCAGCTCTTGCCCGTCTCTTTCTTGGGATGGTTTTTAACTCCTGTGTTTTGGTTTTTTTTTTTTTAACAGGGGGCTGTCTTGGAAATTTCTGCAGTAGCACTGGGTAGGAGGGACAAGTTGGATCCCTTGGACCCCGGCAGGGGAGAAGAGTATTACTATGTCCAGGAGAGCAACTTCTACTGCAAGAAGTGCCCTCCAGGTAAGATGGTCTCAAACGTGGATCACCCCACCTCCAGCCCTGCTGGGTTTCCTTCTGGCTCCTTGCGGGGGGGGGCAGTGGGTTCTCCGGCTCTCCTCTGCTCCCCAAACCTGGTGAGATTGAACCTGTCGTGAGATCCAACACAGGAAGGACATGGACCTGTTGGACGGGTCCAGTGGAGGGCCATAAGATGCTCAAAGGGATGGAGCCACCTCCCTGTGAGGACAGGCTGAGAGAGCTGGGGGGGTTCAGCCTGGAGAAGAGAAAGCTCCGGGTGAGACCTTAGAGCCCCTTCCAGTATCTGAAGGGGCTCCAGGAGAGCTGGGGAGGGACTCTTTGTTGGGAAGTGCAGTGACAGGACAAGGGGAAACGGTTTTAAATTGGAAGAGGGGAGATGTAGATGAGATATTAGGAAGAAATTTGTCACTCTGAGAGTGGTAAGAGCATTGCCCGGAGAAGCTGTGGCTGCCCCATCCCTGGAGGGGTTCAAGGCCAGGTTGGAGGGGGCTTGGAGCAACCTGGGCTGGTGGGAGGTGTCCCTGTCCAGTGCAGGATGATCTTTAAGGTCCCTTCCAACTCTAACCATTCTGTGATTCTATCTAAGGACACATTTAGGAGAACATGTTCCTTGTGATCCTTCCAAATTTGCCTCTTAACCGTGTTGTCTGCAGAATCAGGTCCCTTTCTGTGAAGACATCCCTGTCCTCTGCTGCCTGGTCACAGATTCACCCTTGCTTTCCCCTCTTCTTCTTGCAGGCAAGTACGTTGCTGCTCACTGCAAGGAGCCCAATGGCTCCAGCCTGTGTTTGCCCTGTAAAGAGGACGAATCCATCGGGTACCCAAACGAATACACCGAATATCCAAACGACTTTTCGGGTCCAGTGGAGGGCCATAAGATGCTCAAAGGGATGGAGCCACCTCCCTGTGAGGACAGGCTGAGAGAGCTGGGGGGGTTCAGCCTGGAGAAGAGAAAGCTCCGGGTGAGACCTTAGAGCCCCTTCCAGTATCTGAAGGGGCTCCAGGAGAGCTGGGGAGGGACTCTTTGTTGGGAAGTGCAGTGACAGGACAAGGGGAAACGGTTTTAAATTGGAAGAGGGGAGATGTAGATGAGATATTAGGAAGAAATTTGTCACTCTGAGAGTGGTAAGAGCATTGCCCGGAGAAGCTGTGGCTGCCCCATCCCTGGAGGGGTTCAAGGCCAGGTTGGAGGGGGCTTGGAGCAACCTGGGCTGGTGGGAGGTGTCCCTGTCCAGTGCAGGATGATCTTTAAGGTCCCTTCCAACTCTAACCATTCTGTGATTCTATCTAAGGACACATTTAGGAGAACATGTTCCTTGTGATCCTTCCAAATTTGCCTCTTAACCGTGTTGTCTGCAGAATCAGGTCCCTTTCTGTGAAGACATCCCTGTCCTCTGCTGCCTGGTCACAGATTCACCCTTGCTTTCCCCTCTTCTTCTTGCAGGCAAGTACGTTGCTGCTCACTGCAAGGAGCCCAATGGCTCCAGCCTGTGTCGGCCCTGTAAAGAGGACGAATCCATCGGGTACCCAAACGAATACACCGAATATCCAAACGACTTTTTGAAGTGTCTCCCCTGCCGGACGTGTAGGGAAGGTAGGAGCTGGTGGTGGAAGAGGGTGACGCTGGCTGGTAGCACAGGTTGGGTGGGATCAGCTGACTGGAGACCTCTCTAATATTTCAAGAGCACAGTCACCTCCAGCGTCCCCCAAAGAGTGGCTCTGGGTCTGGAATGGGTGTCATGGCTTGTGCCAGACCTACATCTCCGTTTGCTGCAGCATCCCCTCCTACAAAGCTTGGACACGAGACCTCCATCCAGCCTGGACCAGGGTTCACGGCAGCGTCGTAGGCTGCTGCTGGTGGAGCTTTGATGCGAGCCTTGCTTTTCTCTTGGGTATGGTGAGGTTTTGGGGGCAGGAGAGGGGAAGGTGAAGGCTGAAACTCCGTAGCAGAGTGACATGTTCTTCCCCAGGCTTGTGGGTCAGCCCGGGTCGTTAGCTGCCTTAATGAGGGAAGTGGGTGGAAGAGTGTGGGGCGGTGGGGCTGGGGTAGAGCCCTCTCCTCTTGCCCCACAGATGAGGTGGAGACAAGTCCCTGCAGACCCACCAGCAACACCCAGTGTGCCTGCAAGAGTGGTACCTTCTGCTCCCCGGACCACCCCTGTGAGATGTGCCAGAAGTGCCGGCCCCGGTGAGTTGGGTGCTGTGGCTGGGGGTTGTGGGGGGGCCACCAGGATCTGTGCTGCCAACCCCAGCCCCTGATCCTGCCCCCTTCTTACTTCCAGGTGTTCCCAAGGCGAAGTGGAGCTGGCTCCCTGCACGCCCCACAGCGACCGTCAGTGTGGTCCCCCCACCGACACCTCGTCCGGCTCCTCCTGTAAGTTGGGGGGCTGCTGGAGGAGGGGGGGGACGGGCTGGGGGGTGGTGGTGTGAGGTGCTGCTGAGAGGACTTGGAGCAGCTCCTCAAACACCCCGTTTTATCCCCTTTAGACAACTGGATCCTGATCGTTGCGCTGTTGGTAGCAGCTGTGGTCGTGCTTGTTGTCTTCATCTGCAAGAAATACGGGTGCTACTGTTGCCCAAGTGAGCTTCTGGGGACCCCTGGAGCCCTCACCCCCAGCTGGGGGCTGTGTGGGGGTGAGGGTTGGGTGGGAAGAGGGATCTGCCTGGGGGAAGAGCCATCACAACACCATTTTTGTCTTCCAGGGGACGGGAGGGACCTGAGCAGAAAGTCCTGCGGCGTGGTGGTGAGTTGCTGGGATGGCAAGGAGGAGGGTGGCAGCTCTGTTTGTGAGGCTGGGGTGAGGTCCCTACTTGGCCAGCAGCTCCTGGGAGGGCTGGAGGGGCAGGGGGATGAGTTTCAACCCCGTAGGGATGGGGGAGAGCTGGGCCAAGCCGAGGAGGGGCTCTGGTAGCCCCCCCTGCTTTGTGGGGGACGCTTGGAGCCCCCCCTCCATTGCTGTTCAAGAGCCCCTTCAAGCTCAAGATGAGCAAGCCCTGCCCTTGATGGATGTTGCTGGGGTAGGTGACATCCCTGAGGGGCTGGTGTGAGTCCTGCCCTCCTGGGGCCACCCAACGGGGCTGGTTTGTGCTTCTCTCCTTCTGCAGGACTACCTGATGCGGCGGGTGACCACCAGGTATGAGAGAGGGAGGCCGGAGATACAGGACAACAACCGCAACGAGAGGAAGAATCTGGTTCCTGTGCCGGGACAAGACCCCGTTATCCGTAAGTGTTGGGGGCCCAGGGATGCACAGGGTGAACCTGTGGGATGAGCTTTGTGGGCATAATCCTTTCGAGGGGTGGCTGACACCCCGGAGGGCCGTGCTGCCATCCAGTGAGAGTTGGACAGGCTGGAGGGCTGGGCCAGGAAGAACCTCATGAGGTTCAACAGGGAAAAGTGTAGGGTCCTGCACCTGGGGAAGAAAAATGTCAGGTACCAGTACAGGTTAGGGGTGGACCTGCTAGAGGCAACTACTGAAGAGAAAGATCTAGGGGTCCTGGTGGACAGTAAAATGACAATGAGTAAACAGTGTGCTCTTGCGGCCAGGAAGGCCAATGGTATCTTGGGTTGCAGAGGGAAGAGTGTGGCCAGCAGGTCAAGGGAAGTCATTCTCCCCCTCTGCTCTGCACTGGTGAGGCCACAACTGGAGTACTGCATCCAGTTCTGGGCTCCCCAGTTCAAGAGGGACAGGGAACTACTGGAAAGAGTCCAGCGAAGGGCAACAAAGATGATTCAAGGATTGGAGCATCTCCCTTATGAGGAGAGACTGAGAGAGCTGGGACTCTTTAGTCTGGAGAAGAGAAGGCTGAGGGGAGACCTTATCAATGCTGACAAGTATCTCAAGGGAGGGTTGAAGGAGGAGGGAGCCAGACTCTTTTCAGTGGTTCCCAGTGAGAGGACGAGGGGCAACGGGCACAAGTTGGAACAGAAGAGGTTCCACTCAAATATGAGGAGAAACTTCTTCACGGTGAGGGTGGCAGAGCCCTGGAACAGGCTGCCCAGGGAGGGTGTGGAGTCCCCTTCCTTGGAGATTTTCAAGACCCGCCTGGATGCTCCTGAGTAACATGCTCTGACAAGCTCTAGGCAATCCTGCTTCAGCAGGGGAGTGGGACTAGATGATCTCTATGGTCCCTTCCAACTCTGAAATTCAGTGACCCAGCTGTCCATGCTCTACCCTGTTCTCTAAGCTTTTTTCCTTCCCTCCTTTAGTTCTGCGTCGCTCTTTTGAGTTCTTTGCCCAAGACGTGCCCTACAAGGACTGGAAGAGGTACGGCCGAGCCCTTGATCTGCTGGAGAACGACATTGTCCTCGCGGAAATGAACGACAAGTACTCTCTGGAGCCCTTCTTCCAGATGCTCAACACGTGGCTCAACAGACAAGGGATGAACGCCTCCGTGAACACGCTGCTGGAGACCCTGCGCCGCATCAATCTCGGAGGGGTTGCAGAAGACATCTCCTCCAAGCTGGTCCAGCAGGGATTCTTCCAGTACGAAGCGAGCTGAGGAGCAGGGCGGGCCCCACATCTCCTCACTTCAAGCTAAAAACCATGAATACCTCTTCAGAAGACTTGAAGCTTTTTGTCTTTTTATTGCTCTCCTGTGGCTCTTCTCTTTTTGAAGCCATTGTACAGTTGGGACGAGCCCGGAGGATGTGATCCTCTTGCGAAGGACAAACCTCATGGTCCTCTCTGCTGAAGCTACGGGCTCCATGTTGGTGCTTCCTTAGGAAAACCAGTGCCTTCATTCTACTGGACCAACCCGAAGAGCCTAAAAACATATCACAAGCTGCCTCTGGGACTATCTCACTCGGAAGCACTGGTGCTCTCCAGCCATCTTCAAGAGCGGTGCAGAAAAGGGCCTTTTTTTGCAGGATGTAGGCATCCCTGTGGTTTTTAACTGGATCATCCTTTTTTTGGGGGGGGGTCCTGGCATCACGCAATGGCTTCTGCTTGTAGAAGATCTCTAAGGTGGCCAGCAAGGTCAATACTGTATGCTCGGTGGACAAGCATGAGTGGGGTTCTTGGGTTCCTTTCCTCCAAGCTCTTGACTGAGTAGGGTTTTAACCGATAGCAGTTCTGCTTGCTGTGAGGAACCAGTTTGAAACTGGACTTTGAGGGGAGGGTGGGAATGATTTAGAATCACAGAATGGTTTCGGTTGGAAAAGACCTTTTAAAAGATCATCAGGTCCAACCACTAACGTAGCACTGCCAAGGCCAGCACTAACCCACGTCCCTCAGCACCACGTGGGCCTGGGTTTTAAATCCCTCCAAGGCTGGTGGCTCCACCGCTGCCCTGGGCAGCCTGGTCCAAGGCTTGACGCCTTGACAACCCTCTTTGGTGAAGAATTTTTTCCCAATATCCATCCAAAACCTCCCTTTTTTCCCAACATCCATCCAAAACCTCCCCTGGTGCAACTTGAGGATGTTTCTTCTGGTTTTGTCACCTTGGGAGAAGGAACACCTCTCTGCACCCTACTTCCAGGGAGGTGCAAAGAGTGATTTACTCGCTGGGGTTGCCTGAGAAAAGGGTCTGTGGGGGGATCTCCACCTCGGAGCAGGATGGAGAACGTGGGCAGCAAACTCAGTTTGTCAAAAAACTCCTCCTCTGACCTTGCTCAAGTGGGTTTGTTCCCCTTCCCTTGGCCGTGGGGTGGCTTTGCTCTCCCTGGCTGTCCCCAGCCAGCGTGGAGAGGTGAAATGCACTGAGGTCTGAGCCATGGGTGACCTTCCATCCATCCTCCAGCCGGATGGGTTGCTCCTCAAGCCCTTTGCTCCTCGCTCTGGCTCTCAACACGTAGCTCAGGGACAACTTGGCTGGTAAAAAAAATACTGCATTACTTGAGCTGGCTCCATGTGCTGCCTTCCCAGTACAGCCCAGTCCACTGGGGACCACCCCCAGCGTGGTGGGACAGGGTGAGGGACATCACCAACCCCTCTCCTGTGAAGCACCCGTCCCTGCCCCTTCTCCTTCCTCCCTCCTCACCACCACCTCAAAAAAAACCCCCTGGTTGTAAAACGCAAGCAGAAAGGTCGTATTTATGTATTTATTAATTGTAAACGTGTACATATCTTAAAAGCTAATATAAAAATAGGTGGTTTTTTTTTTTTTACTATGCATGGTTGGGTGGTTTTATACAGAGCTCTGGCCCAGCCAGTTTGCTGTTTCCAGTTTTTACGTTTCTATGAAGGAGGAATAAACTTTTAAAAAAAAAAACAAAACAAAACCTCCTGGTTTCTCATTTATGTTTTTTTTGTTTTTTTTCTCCCCGACGGCCCGTTCTAGGTCGAGGTGGGCACCGAAGGACAAAACAAAACAAAACCAAACCTCCTGGTTTCTCATTTATGGTTTTTTTGTTTTTTTTCTCCCCGACGACCCGTTCTAGGTCGAGGTGGGCACCGAAGGAGCTGGACCAGATGCTCAGCAGCTGCTCTGTGTGGCACTGAGGACCCGGTTTGTGCTCTGCCACACCAGCATCTCACTGGGAAGGGTCCCCACCAGCGATGCTTCTGCTTTGGGGGGGTGGGATGGGGGCAGAAAAACCCCTCCAGCAGCAAACCTGGGGCTCTGCCTTTACCCCTGCGCCGAGAGTCCCACCCTTTTAAGTCGCCTGCAAAATTTAGGAGGCTGAAATCTCAGTCCCTCGAGGGTGCAGGGGTTGAGACATCTCCCCCCGGGGGGGCCAAGTGATGCTGTTGACCCCCAGGATGAAGCTGCTGCTTTTTTGGGGTGGGGGGGACCACGGTGCTCCCCTCTTTGCCTGCAGAGAGCCAGGGCTCTGCGTGTTGCAATAGCTGTGTTGCAAATCCATGCAGTGCTTGGTGAAGAAGGTGGGGGGGGGTGGAAAAAGGGGCTCTGTTCCCCCCCAGGAACCCCCCCCTTGAGTCAGATTTCTCAATAATGCAAGTCTGGGGCAAGTGCTAAAAGCAGGAGTGACCTGCCAGGCCCCATCGTGGTCCCATCCCATGGTGGCTTCCCAAACATGCAAACCTGGGCAGGGAGCTCCTGCGGAGCCAGGCACATGCAGGATTTAGGGCTGGGACACACTCCCTGGGGGGGGGGAAAGGGGGGGCTCAGGTCCCGGCCTGGGGAAGGCAAATGGGACTCAGAAGCAGTGGTGAGCCACCCCAAATCGAAAGGGAAAGAAACTCATGGTCCTACCTGCTCGCTGGTGCTGCAAAGTGGGAGAACCCCCAGTGTAAGCTGGGCTGGAGCCACAACTTTGCTCCAGCAGCCGTGGCTGAGGATGGGCATGTCAAAAGAGGGACTCCGAGGTGCTCTACTGAGGCCAGCCGGGAAGAGGAGCAAGGAGGAGAAGGTGGGGACACCACCAGGAGAATCCTTACGTGCCATTCTGGGAGTCCTCCTTCCCTACACACCATCCTGAGCATCTTCCAGGATGGGAGTCCTCCATTCCTGCGTGCCATCCTGGGCATCTTCCATCCCTACGTGTCATCCTGGGTGTCCTCCATCCCTACACACCATCCTGGGCGTCCTCCATCCTTACACACCATCCTGAGCATCTTCCAGGATGGGAGTCCTCCATTCCTGCGTGCCATCCTGGGCATCTTCCATCCCTACGTGTCATCCTGGGTGTCCTCCATCCCTACACACCATCCTGGGCGTCCTCCATCCTTACACACCATCCTGAGCATCTTCCAGGATGGGAGTCCTCCATTCCTGCGTGCCATCCTGGGCATCTTCCATCCCTACGTGCCATCCTGGGTGTCCTCCATCCCTACACACAATCCTGGGCATCTTCCAGGATGAGCATCCTCCATCCCTACGTGCCATCTTGGGCGTCCTCCATCCCTACACACCATCCTGGGCATCTTCCAGGATGAGCATCCTCCATCCCTACGTGCCATCCTAGGTGTCCTCCATCCCTACACACACCATCCTGGGCGTCCTCCATCCCTACACACTCACTCCAGCAGCAGCATCATCTCTGCCAGGGATGGGCTCCAAGGAGCTTTCCCTTCTCCCAGCTGGGAAGGGCAAGCAGAGGTTTTGGGGTCTCCCCCATCCTGCTGCCTTCTCCTGCCGGTACCTGCTGCGTTTGTGCACCTACAAGGACACAGGTGGGACATGCAAAGTCAGTCCGATGGGTAAAGCCACCTCTTGTTGTCCAAGAGCTTTTTTTGACAGCTGGATCCTTCTCCACTGTCCCTGGCCATGGTGGGAGCGCTGGTTGGGGGG